CCTCCACACCCACACTCCCCCCACAATCTGCCCCCAAACCACTGCGAAAACCCCCATATCCATATTCCTGGCCCTGTAGGGCAGGAGTAAGGGGAATGGGGCAGGGAGTAAGCTGTGTGTTGAGTGAGGAGCAAAGGCAGGGGCAGGGCAGTGGCATATCAGTGCTGCTCAATGCTCCACATTCTGGTGAGCGAAGCTGGTAGAAGCAACTCTGATTTTTCTATGACAAAGAAGCCCAAAGTCAATGCCAAACTGTATAGATAATTAGAATTTATTTTATTATGATGCTAGAGGCACTGGTAGGCTTCCAAGTTGCTTTAAAATTGTAAATATATCAATAAAACATTGCCCAACTGATCTCTCTCTCTCTCTCTCTCTCTATATATATATATATATTTATAGTAGTCTTTTGTTTTAATTGTGGAGGAACATGGATTTTGGGGTATTTTAAAGAGTGAATTTGGGGTTTTTTGTTCAGAGATTTTACAGGTCTTAAATAGGGAACACCGGAATTCCTACTAAGGAGGCAAGTCCCAGGACCCAAGCAGAAGAGCCTGCTCAGGGCTGGCACCTGGGATCCAGCTGGAGGTGGCTGACCTCCTGGCCACTTGGGGCCAGGAGGACAGGCTTTGACAGTTCAAAGCAGGCCACCTACTTGGGAACATCTTATAGGTGATAGTTGCCTGATGACCTGTCCATTGAAGTTGATTCTGGATGATCATATCCTCAATGTTGTTTGAATTTGCTTCGGCCAAGACACTAGTGTTTGTATGTCTATCCTCCCAGCTAATCTGAAGGATCTTGCGAAGGCACTGTTGGTGGTACTTTTCCAAGCTCTTGAGATGTCATCTGTATGTAGTCCGAGTTTCTAAGCCATACAGCAGAGTTGGAATGATAATGGCTTGATAAACCAAGAGCTTTGTTTCAGCAAGGATGTCATGATTTAAGAAGACTCTCTTACTCAGACATCCAAAGGCTGCACTCGCACATTTCAAGTGGTGTTGTATGTCTGTGTCCGTGTCTGCCTTTGATGAAAGATGGCTTCCAAGAAAAGTGAAATGATCCACGTTCTCCAGCAATTCTCCTTTAATTTGAATGGAGGCAGGGTTTGTTTCTCCATTTGAAGCAGGTTTGTAAAGATCTTGCATTTTCCTGATGTTTAAAGTTAGGCCAATACTCTCGTAGACTTCCGAGAATACATTAAGAATGGTTTGCAGGTCTGTTTCAGATTGAGCAACATTGACAGCATTGTCATCTGCATACTAGAGCTCCATTATTGATGTTGCCATGGTCTTCATTTTGGACTTGAGTCTGTTGAGATTGAAGGGTTTTCTGTCCATCCTATACACAATTTCAAATCTAGGTGGGAGCTTTCTGTCAATGAGGTGCATTATGGTGGAGATGAAGATGGAAAATAAAGTAGAGCGATGACGCAACCTTGCTTCACTCCAGTTTTCACCTCAAATGGTTCTATTTGATTCCCGTTGCTGAGAACCCTTGCTGACATGTTGTTGTGGAGAAGTCTCAGAACACTGATAAACTAGTTTGGGCAGTCAATTTTGGACAGGATTTTCCATTGGGCTTCATAGTTTACAGAATTGAAGGCTTTAGAAAGGTCAATGAAGGCCAAATAGAGAGGTTCGATTTTGCTCATGGCACTTCTCCTGGATTTGACATGCTGTAAAGATCATGTCTGCAGTTCCTCGAGATGGTCTGAAGTCACTTTGAAATTCTGGAATAATTTCTTCTGCAAGTGGGAGAAGGCGGTTAGTGAAGATACAGGCAATGACTTTCCCAGCAGTGGTCAACAATGAGATGTCTTGGTAGTTTCTGCAATCAGCTCTGTCCCCCTTCTTGAAGATGGTAATAATCAAGGCATCCCTTAGGTCAGCTGGGATTTCTTCTTTGTTCCAAATTAAAAGGATGAGGACATGAAGCTGACACACGTAAGTTGTTCTCCTCCTCTGAAAGCCTGCACAGGTATTCCGTCAACACTGGCTGCCTCATTATTCTTCAATTTCCTGATGGCATTTTCCAGGGTAGGCAGCAAACCCAGGTCTTCCTTAATGGACTACGTAAATAGTGATTGCCCTGTGCAAAGGACAGCAATCGTCTCTTGTGAACTGAGGAAGTTCAATGTCAACATTGCTGCCCTATCTAAAACTCAGTGTGCTGGAGAAGGGCACCTGAAAGAAGAAGGTGGAGGATACAGGTGGAAGGAGAGCAGAAGAGCCACAGACACATGGAGTTGGTTTTGCCCTCAGAAACAAACTTGTGAACAGACTCTCACAACTCCCAATTGGTGTCAATGAATGCCTCATGACTCTCTGCCTGAAACTTGCCAAAAACCAACAGGCATCAACTGTGAGTGCATATGCCCTGACTCTTGATGCCAATGAGATCATGAAGGAGAACTTCTACTCTCAGCTTGACACCATCCTCTCAAGTATCCCAAGGGAACATATGATCATCCTGCTTGGAGATTTTAATGCCAGAGTGGGAAGAGACTCAAAACTTTGGAACGGTACTATCAGAAAAGATATTGGAAATTGTATGTTCTGCACACTTCATCAGGAAATTCAAATGCTCCTGATGAAGTGTGCAGAACATGGACTTGTCATCACAAGTATCTTGTTCCGTCAAAGGAACAAGTTCAAGATGTCCCGTAAACACCCTAGATCAAAACACTGGCATTTGATAGCATACATAATTGTTCAGACTTGCGATTGCCAGGATGTCCTGATTACAAGAGCCATGACTAGCGCTGGTGACTGTTGGATTGACCACTACTTCATCCATTCCTGCATGCCCATCAGGATTTCTCCTAAATGAAGAACGCAAAGGAAGCAGATCAAGCGCAAGTTAAACATTGAGTGCCTGAAGGACCCACTCAAGCAGGGAGAATACAAGCATCTTCTGAATTAGACACTACCAACAGAGCACCCAAGAGTCAAGGAGCACTGGATGGGACTCAAGACAGCTGATCTCTCATCCTGTGAAAATACCATGGGATACAAGACCAGGAAACATCAAGACTGGTTTGACAAAAATGACATTGAAATTCAAGATCTCATCAACAGGAAACGGAAAGCTTTCTGTGCTTGGCAGAATGACATCAACTCTGCAATCAAGAAAAATGTACACCAACAAGCAAAATCAGAGGTGCAGAGGAGAACATGAGAACTGAAGAATGAGTGGTGGATTCAGAAATCAAAAGAAATACAACATTTTGCTGACATCCGTGACACTCGTGGCTTCTTCAGTGCTACCAGATCTGCCTACAGCCCTAGCACTCAAGGCCTTAAGCCTCTAAGTTCAAAAGGATGGAACAACACTCCTGAAAGACAGCAAATCCATCTGTGCTCACTGGAAAAAACATTTCCAAGACCTTCTGAATTGTGACTCAACTGTTGATGAAGATAAGCTCAATTATTGTGATACTTGCCATAACAACTAGCAA